ATAATTATGTTTTGTTTTGCTAAATTGATAAAGATGGAGTCTAGGCCAGCTTGCTATGATTATAGGTTTTGGGGGATGGTACTTTTTTCAATTGCTTGTATTGGGAGGGATTGTGAAATTTGAGGTTCCCACGGCTTAATTCTCTGCGTAGTGCTTTTCGCGTCACACTTGCTCTTGAGGTCTGGAAAGGGACGTTTGAGGAATAAGTTGACCTTTTTTATGAAGTTGAATTTGCTATGTTTTATGAGTTGAACTTGTAGCAACAATATTTTGGAGTGATGTTTGTTGTCACTAAACTGTATGTTTTTGATGGGGGGACAAAATGCAGGAGGTATGGTTGGAAAGAATAAGTGGAAAGATTTGTATGTCAATCTCCTCGAAAGCAATGTTGATAACTAATGTGGAAGACAGGAGACACTGGAACTGGTTTCCTACAGAAGAATCAAGGTTAGATTAATTGGTTGAAACTATGTGTAACAATGTCATTATTAAGCTTATTGTTGCAGTGATATAAAATGATTTTGGAGTTTTAAAATGGTTATATCCTCTTATGAGATGATACTAAGAACTAGTTTCTTTCTGCAGTGAGTTGGACTACATATCATTGGGATTTTCCCATGCATCACATGATAATCTTTTATGAGCAATACATGTGAAAATGAGTTTTTCTTTAATGTTCTTTATTTGATTTTTAAAAATATTGGTCATGCTAACTTATGGACACCTTGTCTAATCCACTCGGCAAACTTTACAGTCCACAAGCACACGTTGCAAAGGTAACCATCCCTACTTAGGTTGGAGCAGATTGGCTCAAACCAAATGTTGAATTTGAACCTAAAACTTCCAAGTTGTTACTCCCTTGCCTCAATCACCAGACCAATCCCTTGGGGACATGTGAAAACAAGGTTTATGTATTCACCATGAGGTGAAAATGAATATAAGTTAATTCAATTAGAGTAGTAGTTATTAAACTTCCAGCTCTTTCTCTCACTAAACCTGACAAATAGACAATGCTGTAGCGGATTCTTAAGTGGAAAACATTCTGATTTGCCTTCCAATATATTGTGTTGACACTGCTTGACTTTCTATACCCTCCTGCTTGTATGCCTGATTTGAGTTATCAGTAGATTGCTTTTAATTTTTCTTTCTACCAAATGAGATTGTACTTGGTAGGAAGGCCGAAGTTTGATCAATCTTTTGTAGCAAATATACAGAGTGTGTGAACTTATGCTCTAGATGGTGTTAGTTAGATGCAAATGTGGTGATGGATTAGAATGCTCAGTGCATATGACACTTCCTCTTTCTTCTTCTTTGCCTCCCATAGCCATGGTATATTCCTAAATGAACTGAAACTTGAAATGAGTTATTAGATGCCATTTTGCATCCATTTGAGAAATTGTTGAAGCAATGTTCTCAAAAGGATCTGAAAGTGTTTCCCCCCTGAAGGAGACAAGAAAACAGCAAATCCATGCATTGAACCAGTCTTGTAAAATATTCTCCATTTTCCCTCTTTAAAGAAATCATGCTCCCTTGTCTCCGAGTGCGTTTACGTGGCTTTTCTTCATCAGTTGATATGTTGGTGTAGTAATTAGATCTAAGACAGAAATATACATAATAGGGAAAAGAACGAAAAATGAGATAGAATGTTGGACCTAGGTCGTTATTGCTTCTGCTGGATAGTATGAGTTTTAATTCTCAGCTGTAGAAGAGATGATATATTGATGAGTTTATCAGCTGTAGTTAGGATGTTATTTTGCTAGCTACATGACTTTTTGACTAAGCTCTGTTAGGATGTTGTCGGAGCATTTGTCTGTTCAAAATGTCCAGTTATTTTTCTGGTTAGAAATGAAGTTAACTTACTCATTCCTTTTCTAATTTTGATTGATTCCAGCTGATTGAGTAGTGGCAACAGTTGGCTTTTATGTCTCAGCCTTTTGTCAATGAACTTCCTGTCTTGAGAGTATGAAACTGAACCACTGGTATCAGATTGTGGTACTGCTTGCAACAGTATGCTAATTTATAGGGTGAAATATATGGTAATCTCATGGATATGAGATGTTTGTCCTTTTTATTCTCTTTGTTCCAATGTGTGCTAGTTTATGAACTCCGAGCTTTCTTCTCTTGGAACTGTTCATGTTATCCTCTATCACTGTGTGTGTGTGTGTTTTGGGGTGGGGTGGGGAGGTGTTACAGGCTGTCCTGCCCCTGTTGTCTCCTCCTTTTCTCCATTGAATTATACATGAACATACTAGTTTTTCCCTCTTTACTTTTGCACAACTGATCGTTGTTGATGATGAGGGATATCGCAAATTTTGAACTCTTGCAGATTCCATGTTGTGGCGTATTGCCAGCAGGTATGGTGGTTTGAATTGAGTGGCACAGTGAATTTTCCTTTTCCTCCAGGTATATACACTGTAACATTCAGAGTTCACCTTGGGAAAATATTTAAAAGACTCGGCCGGCGTGCTTGCAACTTTGAGCATACTCATGGATGGGATTTGGGGACAGTACGTTATGAACTGTCTACTTCTGATGGGCAACATGCAGTTAGTGAGTGCTTCATAGATGACACTGGGCAAGACGACCCAAATGGGAATATCAGGCGTGGGAGCTGGATTGAGTACAAGGTGGGTGAATTTATTGTCAGTGCATCAGATCCTGTGACGGAAGTTAGATTTTCAATGAAACAGATTGACTGCACACATTCTAAAGGCGGGCTCTGTGTTGATTCTGTATCAATTACCCCTAGTGATCTGAAAGTCCATCCTAGAAAAGGGGTTTAAAGTATCTGTAAGTGACATGTTTTCTTGCCAATGCTCTCAGAAAATTTTCTATGGGTTCCATTAAACCGCCTAAAAACAATACATTTGAGAAGGTAGTCATTGTAAAATTATTTTTTGCCTTAGTATGTCTTCTCTCTCCATGTAAATGATACTGTTTTGTTCTTGATCCAGTTTTGTTGCATAGAATACCTACTGCAGAAGATCAAGAAAAGATAGGTTGCTCATTTTTCATTGGAGAAAAGGTCCAACTATTCTAGTTTTTTCTTGTACAGAAAAATATGGCTCAATTCTTCCAGTAGCAGAGCCTGGAATTCAATTTTTGGGTTCTAGATTGAGAAAAAAATTAACTGGGTTCGGCTGAACTCATATCGAGGCTTCTATCTGTGCCCCTGAATTCTTTCCACTTTTATAGCATGTTTTACAATTCAACTATGTTGTTTGGAGATTGGACTGTCCAAAAAAAATGTCACATCCTTGTCTGATCCTCCAAATATATAACTTTTTCGAGGATCCGCCACACATTCAACAATACTTTTTAAGAGTTAGAGCAACACAACATTTCAGTGCTTTAAGATCTCAACTTTGGTAGAATCGTGTCGTTGTGCTCTCTCATATGCTTATGTTGTTTACTATAGTCTTTTTGTTGCGTCTTCTTTGGTTATTATGACATCTTTTGATCATTAACAACCTTTTCTATGTGCTGTGAATGCTGTTCACTTACATTTTTTTTGTAAGTCAATGTGTTTTGAACTGCAAGAATATGCTGTCTCTGATTGATCCTGATTCGACATTAGAAGTATATTGTTTTTTCCCCAATAACCGAATACTTTTGTCCGTAAATACTGCATATTTGATTCCATCCATGTCGCATCAGATGGTGATATTTTTCTTCTATTTTAATCAATCTATTATTGGGAACATTACAGGCTGCTTGACCAGTGTTTTGTTACCATTTAACGTGTGAAGTGATCTTTGGTAATATCTTGTTCAATTACTATTACGTGAAGGTCTCCGTACACTATAGTCTTCTCAGACCCCTCATGTGGAATTATACTCAGGATATCAGGATATGTTGTTGTATTGTAGTATATGATCATTTTTTACCCGACACTTTTTCTTATTAGGCGACCTTAAAACCTACCCTCTTTCTATATTTAGTAACAACATTAACTTTAAAATGCCTATTTTATTCATGAGATGATTTATAACCACGTAAATATTTATCACCTATTTTGAATCATAATTTTATTTGTATTGTGGTGGTCAAGTTGGGTAAGGCTTCCACATCATTTGAGTAAGTTGACATGGTAGAATCAAATTGTGGGCTTTTTCCCAAAGTCTACCTATTTACGCAATCTTGTCCAAAAAAAAGAAAAGAATAAAAAACAAAGAAATCTAATACCAAATCAATTCCAAAAATCAAAAGATGTGTTACTTTTGTTTATTTCTCGAAAGAAGAAAAAACGGATTGGTAGCAATTTGGTAAATTTTTATTATTGATATAGGCGGTTTGATTCATTTTACTTTTAAAACTGAATCAAATCAAATATTATTGATCATTTAAAAAGATTGTCAGGTTGAAAGAACATGTTTGAATTTTGGCTTCATATACACGTAGTAAATCTTCAAATTTAATTTTATTTAGACACTCAAATTATAAATTGTCAAACTAGATACTTTTTTAGATTTTGATTTTTTTGGCACGCAAATTCTACAGATTATTAGGGCTAATGCGTATTTTTAAAGAAGATAACATATTTTAAGTATTCAACTCATTTACATGCACTTGCAAACAATAGCTTTTTTTGTTGAAATTTGAACATGTCTAAAGGAACACTTTATCCGTAATCAATTTTAATAGTAAATTGCAGTCCGTGTGCGTTAGTTTAAAAGGCTGTCACGTATTAAGCCTTGCATTTTTATGGTCATTAGGCTTGATTTTTATTTGGTTTAGATCAGTTTTATGATCGATCTACACTTGTTTAACAACATCCACATTTAAAATAGTAATTACACAATTAAATGGAATATGAATTCAATCATGTTAAACACTACTGATTCTTATGTATCTTCCTTGATCAATTTAATCATCATGAAAGTAATTCTTCAAGTATGCAGAAAAACAGACGTTAAAGGGCCAACTTAAACTCATCTTAATTATATTCTAGCTCAGTCAGATTGCTGCATGGTAAATTACTGCACGAGTTTGCACACGCATTCGAAGAAACAGATTTCAAAAATATATTGTTTAGGAGTCAAAAAACTACATCTGTAATAGAGAATGAACCCACAAGCAGTCAATAGTATGTGGAGAATCAACAGCTGCATTTGCAACCAAATGCAAAACCGTCAACGAGAAATTTGTCTGCAGATGTATGAGATACTTGTAAATGAAGGTCTTCGCTTACAGTCTCTTCAAACAAAGGCACTCTATTGCTAATAAGGAAACAACATAAACAACAGCTTAACGTTTTCCTCCGCCACCACCAAGCTTAGGACCTTTAGATGCACCTCCTTTGGACATATTTCCCTTTCCTCCAGCTTTCTGGGACTTGGCCTGAACCTCTGCTTTCTTCGCCTTCTTTTCATCCTTTGTCTTCTTGATCCTTTCCTTAATTTCACTACACAAAATCCATACACACAAAGATCAGTTTATCCCCATTAACCCAGGAAAAAAAAAACGCTTCTTTCTTAAACTTCAATGACTAACACCATAATTTACTGTCCCCTCACACCAAGATGATAATACCAAGCATTGTGTAGTACACTTAAGGCTCTAGGTGTTTTTAGTTCATGTTGGGCCCATATGGAACAGAAGGTGCTTGAAAGGTATCAGCACATCTGTAACGATAGACACAAAATTAATTTCCCAGACTAGTAACTGTATTAACCACATGTGAAAATGTTAATACCTGACCAAGTCTGGTATACAAGATAAAGGATCATCAGATCAGACTATCCAAAAAGTCACCAACTATATGCAAGTTGCTGGCGCACACACTGATAAACAAAATCAGGAATTACTAGAAACTAACCGAAGAGCAGCCTCCCTGGCAGCATCTCGAACTTCTGGCCTTTCAGTTCTCTTCTTCTGGATTACCTCCAAGGTTGCACCCACAATAGACCTAGAGTAAGGCTTCTTGGTGGTACGTCGCCTCTTCTTAGCAGCTTCTTGTGCAATATCCTATTGTAAATGAACACAGGTCGCAATCAAATTACGTCATTATAAGCAAGTATAGGGAAGTCCTAGAAAAGTTCAGCATCACAATGCAAGTTATACAAGTAAAACTATATATGATGAAGAAAAGGCATATTCCCTAGTTTAGTTTCAATTAGGGGGCAGACCACAGTTACTGTTGTTCAAAGTCCAGAAAACTCACCTTCTTGTGTTGCTTCCTATACATAGCTGTCCATGTAAGTTTGGACGGCTTCAACTTGTTGTGGAAGTAGTGTTTGCATTTTGAGTTGACGAATAGGAACACCTAAAAGTATCAAGAAATCAATAAAGTGATAGCAGAACTAGCACGATTTTTCCTCCAATTCCAAAGAAAACAAGCAAATTTATACTAGATTAAGAGAAGTAGCATGTCATCTGTTGAAAGAATACCTGAGAATCTGAACGGATAAATCTGATGCCTCTCCCAGGGTAAATCTTGGCACCACTGAAACGGCAAAGTTCTGTCCTGAAATTGATGTAAGAAGACAACAATGAATCATCACTTTGAATTTATGGCAGTGGAATTACCAGGGAAAAATCTAAACTACAGGAAATGAGCAAGCTCAAGAAAATTAAGTTGAACATTGAATTGGGTTAACATCACTATTTTTATGTAGTGCCTAGTTGAAACATAGCAGATGACCAAGAAAATAATTGCCAACTGCTGTCCGCCAGCAAGGCAGTTCACATCTGATGGTGGCTACAGTTTTAGTAGCCAGGTGTACTTAAAAAGAACTAATGTGGTTTGAAATCAACCAGTGCGACAACGCACATAACTATGGAGCAGTGAAAAGATGGATATCACCAATACTACTTAATATGATTTTAATCTAGTTGCAAGGTCATACACTCTGCCTGGAGCACTTCCCTACCTATCACTTCATCCCTCCCACACAATTCCCCTTACTCTAAGCAAAGACCAGAACAGACCAGATTTTCAAAAGAAAACTAACCCGCAAAAAAACATGGAAGATCACTCTAGAAATAAACTATGCTAGATGTGTGGTCTGACTTGAATATAGAATAAGAAGACCACATCAACTGTCTGTGCATGAATATTCTTTCAAATGAGAAAATAAATTGCAAGCAGAACTTGAGCTTCACGAGCAAACTCCAACCTCATCAAATCGAACTATGAGTTAGAGTGTTCACTATGAAAATTAGGGTGTTCTTGAATCGTGAAAAACGATCATCCCAGCAAAATATTCTCCTAAAAGTCAAAATACAATTATCTCCAATCTTACTCTTGCTCAAATCATAATTTAGACATTGTTACAAATCCTATAATACTCAAAAGTGCACCATCACATAACTATCCTTATTCCTAAGGTAATCCTTGTATGATTAAGAAATGTATGCTATTTTTATGCAAACCACAGAAAACGACCCAAAAAAAATAATTTTTGATCTCCATACTAGTGTTTTTGTCTGCGCTGGATTTGAATAAGAGACCTCATGGTTTTCGCGTGCCATACTACGCATACATAGTGAAACAACATTTATCTTTAAGGGAGCTCCGCCGAGAGCATCTCCGGAATTACACACTCTCATCTACATTATGAATCTAACTATGGATTTTTGCACAGTTCCACCATTGATTCTTCTCCGTGAGCTAAATCTAGGAATTGTAGATACCATTTATGGATAAATTACCAAATTTTCTCAACGAATACAACAGAAACAAATAATCGGATGCATAAAGTAGAGATGAATGACAAAGATAAACGGGAGAAATCTTACTTGAGAACCATGGTTGATGCTGTAGCGAGCCGCCCTCCTTTACAGTATCTCAATGAAGTTGAAACCCTAATGAGCTGCCGTTTTATAAGAAATAGAAATTAAAGGGCCAAAAGATGTAAAGGGCTTCGTGGGCTTGTCTGAATGTTTCAGTTATTGGGCCTCTCCATAAAACTTTAAGCCCATATAACAAAAAAACACAACATATAAACCCAATTTGAAGTATTTCTGCTAAAGAATTATTTCAAATGATGAATATGTCCTCTAAATTGCAGCATAAGTTTATATGTTCGTGTCATAATATCTCACAAGTTATGACGTGAAGGTGTTTGTTCTTGACATTGAAATAGCAAACAACTTTTTCGCAACATAAGTTTATATCAATATATCCCACAAGTTATGCCATATGTCGTGAGGGCCTAACATATTTCTAAAAAAGAGAAAAGAAAAAAGAACAACACACAACCAATTTTAAGTATTTTTACTAAAGATTATGTCCTCTTTTCATTTTTTTTTTTTTGTTTCCCACCTAGTATTAGGTATCAACAGTGGAGTCCGACTATTTTGAATTCGCGCTGCATAGAGCCCTACTCGGGGGAAAGCGCTCCTTACTAGGGATTTTTTCATATCCAAGGTTCAAATCCGAAACATCTGAATAAGAAAAAAACAGCTCCATCCACTACGCCACATCTTTATGATTCCTTTTTTTTCTACTGCAAGTACAAAATAAAATTATCCACATCTACATTGGGTACAACAACCCTTCATGTAAACAAATACTAGCAAAATTTACATACAACAAACATCAAAATGTTTCATTCCATATACCATCATTTTTCATCATATTTATGTCTTTTATTAACAGATTGAATTAGAAAAAAAAATTAAACTATTTTTTTTAATTCAAAAATGAGACATGAGATTCAGGTTTGGACCGGTATTATTATTTGGGAAATTTTCGCAAGTAGCGACTATAATAAATTTTATTATGATTTATAGTTATGGTTTGCATATTTACAGGTTATAGCTACAGTCTAAATTGTCTCATTTGTATAATTTGCGGGTGAGTTTATATAATTCAACTATTTTTGTATAAACTCGAAATAACGAGTTTATACAAACACAAACATCTGAACTTTAAACAGTTATACAAATTTATTATACAAAATTACATCATACAAAAGTTATACAATTATACAAATGTGAGGATTATACAAAACTAAAAAACTGAGCTGCATAATTATAGCTAAAAGTAGGTCGCGAATTGTAATTAAAACAAACTGTAGCTATGTTAACTAATTAACTAGTATATATTTGCTTATCCGCGTAATTTTCCCTTATTATTTCCATCTCAATTCTCTTTTATTTCTTTGTCTCTCATTTTCTAACCCAACTCTCATAATTGGAACTTGGAAGCCATTAACGGAGTTGTAGTATCAGCTCAGGATCAATTTGCCTATATATAATTCTTTCAATGCAATGGTCGTGTTTAGATTTTTAGGATAGCAGACAATATGACCTATCTTATTAATGTGTTGACAGGGATATTTTTTTTTTAAAATTACACAAATCTTATAACGTTAAGAGCTAATTACATCATATTCCTACTCTTTTTCAAATTACAAAAAATCCTTAAAATTTAAGGATTTCGGATACATCACTTAACGTTTCCGATACATAGCGTCCCGATACATTACCTATGTTGATACAAGACACACATGTCCAGATATTTCGCTCAACGTCTCGATACATCGTATGTCGATACATTACCTTTGTTGATATAAGACACACATGTCCCGATACATCGCGTAAGAGTGATTTATATGAGAATAGGAGAGAGTAGGGATTTTTATAACTTTTTAAATGGTAGAAAATTTTAAAGAATATGGTAAAATAAGTTGTGTATTTAGATAATTTTTTAAATAATTTTAGATCAAGAAAATGGGTACATTGCTAACATGGTAGTTTTATTAGGTAAAGTTAGTTTTCGAGGTTAAGTTAGTTCTTGTTTTCCAAAAGATAATATAATTAAAGTCCATTTTGTTAAACATAAATACATACATAATCACAAGAAGTTTATAGCCAATTTGAAAATTCAAATCTTAGCATTTTTACATTCTTTTCGTTTGGAGTATGAAAAGGGTGGATGGTGAAAGGCTTCCGACCATTATAAATGAACGGAGGAGAAATTAAGATGTGATAGTAGTAGTGAGTCGATACCATCTCCAACCCACCTCTATTTTACTCTCCATTCTCTATATTTGGAGAGTAAAATAGAGAATGGGTTCTCCAACCACTCTTTAATTAACTCTCTATTTTCCATCTAGTTCTTCAAATTTGGAGAACTACTATTCACACACTCTATTCACTTTTTGATTATTTTATTATTATTTCTATTATTTTGCAATTAACATATTATTTTTAATATAAGGTCATTAATTAAATCTCTAATATTCGTAATTCTTTTTAAATTAACTCTCTATTTTCCATCTAGTTCTTCAAATTTGGAGAACTACTATTCACACACTCTATTCACTTTTTGATTATTTTATTATTATTTCTATTATTTTGCAATTAACATATTATTTTTAATATAAGGTCATTAATTAAATCTCTAATATTCGTAATTCTTTTTAAATTAACTCTCTATTTTCCATCTAGTTCTTCAAATTTGGAGAACTACTATTCACACACTCTATTCACTTTTTGATTATTTTATTATTATTTCTATTATTTTGTAATTAACATATTATTTTTAATATAAGGTCATTAATTAAATCTCTAATATTCGTAATTCTTTTTAAATTAACTCTCTATTTTCCATCTAGTTCTTCAAATTTGGAGAACTACTATTCACACACTCTATTCACTTTTTGATTATTTTATTATTATTTCTATTATTTTGCAATTAACATATTATTTTTAATATAAGGTCATTAATTAAATCTCTAATATTCGTAATTCTTTTTAAATTAACTCTCTATTTTCCATCTAGTTCTTCAAATTTGGAGAACTACTATTCACACACTCTATTCACTTTTTGATTATTTTATTATTATTTCTATTATTTTGCAATTAACATATTATTTTTAATATAAGGTCATTAATTAAATCTCTAATATTCGTAATTCTTTTTAAATGTAAGATAACATTTTAAATAATATATTATTTGATATATATTACTTTCATCCCGAATTAATAATATTACTTTTTAAATTTTCGTCACTTTAATATAATTTGATATTATTATTAATTTTCACAATGAAGAATGCACAAAAATAAAATGATAAGATGGAAATTTTGATTTAAAAATATAATACATAACATAATAATTTAAATACAAGATAACAATACAATACATAATATAATAATTTTATCACAACAATAATTTAGTAATCCGGTAGGTCGTTTCAAGATTTAACAATATTCGGGGGGAAATTAGTATATGATCTAGAAAACTATTTTGGTTGTGATTGAGGTTGTGCTTGTTGATTTATGTAGTGTTCGTAATTGTATTTTATTCATGATTTCACTTTTATTTGAATTGTCCATTAATTTGTATATTACATAATATTAGCTTGAAATTTATGTTATTTAGAAATTTAGAATAAAATAAAATCTTACATTAAATAATGAATTTGAAAAAATATTACATAAAAATTATATAAAGTGATTATTTGAAAAAAGAAGAAGGAAAAAGGATTTATATTATGAAATAAGAAAATGAGAATAAAATAGAAATAATAATATAATATTGAGAAGAGATAAAAATATTCTTTTTTAAGAGTAAAATAGAGAATTGAATTGGAGTTGGTTGTCTGAAAAAATAGAGAACTCTATATTTGAAGAGTAAAATCGAGTATAGGGTTGGAGATGCCAAATGTTCAAAATAAATATTTTGGCTAACTTGGGCGAAAATAGGGTTGAAGAAGGACATTTTTGAACCTTTTCCTTTATGAATATGACAAATCAAATCAATAGAAATAATGCCAGAATAATTTATCCTAGCAAAAGTAAAAGGAGTCGTTTGGTGTGAGGTATAAGGTATATTAATCCCATAGATAAAATGCAGAACTATTTTATCCTATGTTTGGTTAGAGGTATTAAGCAGACATGAGAATATTTATCCCACCATTTATATCTTAATAATGGGATAAGTTATCGCATATTGTTGGGTTTAGGATCTTTTTTCCCTTCCTATGTGGATAAATAAAGGTCTTATTAGGACTTGCCCACTTTAGCCCATAACCCAAAATATTATGTGGCATATATAAGGCTTATTTGGTCTTATTTTCAAAAACACAAGAGAGAAAAATCAAGAGAGTTTCGTTTTAGAGATTGAGAGAAAAAGAGAAAAATCCCGTTTTTGCTTCTGGAAATTTTCTGCTCAGGCAGTCCGCTTCAGACAAAGTTTGCTGCTTCGTTAACCGTTGGATTGTGCTCAAATTTGAACTGGGAGTTCTCAGCATCTGGTTCTTGCAATTCAACGGTGGAGATCGGATTTGGAGGTCTGTAGATTCTGATTTTGCGGCGCGAACAGTAGCGCATTTTTGGGTAAAATCTCTTCTTTAATTCTCTAGTTTTGGTGCAATCTTGTTTTGTTGTTACTCGTTGTTTGGCGCTTGTTTTGTGGCCAATTTTGGAGAACAATTTTGTAACTCTTGGTGTTTATAGTGGAGCTTTTGGTCATGTGGTTTTTTACTCTTCACATCAAAGGGTTTTCCACGTAAATCGTTGTGTCTTGTGTGATTGAGTTATTCTTATGTTGTTGCTTTAGTTTGGCTGATATACTTGTTGTCCATTCTTCATATTGCTTGATTTGGTTTATCTTCTCTTGGTTCAAATTGAAAGGGAAAGTTTAGATTTGGGTATTATTCCGCTGCTATCCTGTCTGGCATTCTTGTTAATGTCTTGTCTTTCCCAACACATATACATGATGAAATAACTTATCTCATGATAATTTATCCTGAATAATTAATCTCGAAATAATTTGTTCCCAACCAAACAACCCAGATATATTTGTGTCATTGGAGTCTATGACTACCACACATTCTTTTTCACTGTTTGAATTTATTGTATACTATCAATTATT